CATATAGATAAGTATATAACCCGCTCACCCCTTGTCCGCTTGCCAAGTTTGGTCTTGTTAGCTTCAAACTGTTGAAGGAGTTAGCTGAACATATATACAAAACTACAAGCTGTATTAATGTAGGATACCATAAAACGAGAACAGAAGTATTGCACAAACCCAACTAAAGAAAAAGCAAACAGAGTTTAGTGTTTAGAAGCCAGTAAATCACAAAACCAAGGCAGAAAGACAAAGAATGAAACAAGACTTCTATTTGGATTTTTAAAATTACAACCTACGTCATCAAACTTACTGAAAGTTACAGAAAAATTTTAGTACTCAAGATTAAACTTACTATACAAACAATAAGAAGGACCAGTAAGCTATGACAAGATTAATTCTTACAGAATAAGGTTTCAAGAAACTATATGTAGTGATATAACAATTAATATATTTCATAAGATATTATTTGGCTAACTCAAGAAAGAAGTAGAGAATGATCTCAACAATGGCTTAGTCCTCTAAGATTACTATAGAAAAACTCGCAGGAAGAGCACCAACTGAAACTTGTCCAAGTGCCACGTATATTGGTCTTCATGATAGTCGCCCCCCTCCCATCTACCTCCGGGTGGTAGGAAGAGCACCAGCTGAGACTTATCCAAGTGCCACGGGTGTGGGTCTTCATGATAGTCGCCCCCCCCCCATCTACCTCCGGGTGGCTTAATGGTAAACTTGAAGGCTTACACTGCTTAAAATATAGGTTCGATACCCGCAGTGGGTACAGAGCAGGGAGCCTATTGTGTAGCTTTGCGCTTAAAATCAAAACAAACAATTCATGATAGAACAACCTGAACAACTATTAAATGTTAGTCTTATAGCACAATAATTCTAATAAATGTGAATAAATAAGGAAAAATTTATAAATGCCAAAAACAAATCAAAATAAAAACATCACAGAAGATCGCTATATATATATATATATTAGGTCATCAAGAAATTAATGTTGCTTTGTTTAGATGAAAAAACCCGAACAATTCATATATCAAAACAAAATATTTATTAAATGAACTAGTCTCCATTCTTATCGATGATGCTTTTCAGGTTGTTAATGCCCTGATTAAATAAATCACTTGGCTTTGAAGCAAAAACATGTCGATATCCTCTTTAACACCTTCAACATTTGCATACGTTTTCCCATTAAGATGGTGTTGCAGCGAACGAAAAAGATGGTAATCTGATGGTGCCATATCTGAAGAATATGGTGGATGTGGAGAACTTCCCAACCCAACTCCATAATCTTGTGTTGCGTCAAACGTGCCACATGTGGACGTGCATTGTCGAAGAGAAGAAGAACACCTTTCCGATTGACGAGTGAAGGGCGTTTCTGATGAAGGGCTTGATTTAAACGTTTCAGGTGCTGACTATAGATCTATGCATTGATAGTTCGCTGTGGATTGAGAAGTTCGAAATGAATTACTCCTTTGATGTCCCACCAAATTTAAAGCATCACTTTCTGCGGATGGAGTCCAGGTTTTTGGGGTCGAAAGTGTTTTTTTTCTAGGACTGAGTCATTGTTTTTGGCGTTTAATATTCGCCTAGAGAATCAATTTTTCATCACCGGTGACAATTCTGTCCAAAAATGGTTCACGAGCATTACGCGCCAGAAGAAACGAAGCAACATTCACACGTTGGAAACGATGATCCAAGCATCTTCTACTACAGCGTAGGTAAAACGTAGTGGGACTGTTGGTATAGCAATTTTCTTTGTGTCGACAGACAGCTATATTGTATATTTTTTAATATTTCTGAAAAATGTGTGCTACGTTATGTTGCTGAGAATAATATTAACTTAAAAAAATACAAAAAACATAGAAAAAATAACGACCTGGAAAATACTGAATAACACTGTTCACTAAGATAGCCTGGGCGACCTAAGTAACAATTATTTGTTACTTTATTGCAACACTGTATATTATATACACTTTCTTGCTAAGTCTTCCATCTCAGAAATAATAAATCTTTTGTGAATTGTTTTACATTCTATTCAACATTATAGAACGTTAAAAACTACTCCATGTGGCCATGAACCAAAGGAAGATGAAATCAAAAGATTTTTTCTTGAACAAAACACCAGCTATTTTTTATCTTTATAGGCTTAATGTACGTTTTCTGACAAATTCAGTTTACCGTTTAGCTTTTTGGAGCTTTAATATGACTGCTTTAAAGTAAAACTCATTTCGTTAGGATATTAATGATAAATCAATAATATCATAAGATCACACCAGGGTGCGTTAGTAATAGACTCATTTCGTAGTAGTTGCGTTCTAAACTTTTATAACAAGAAGTTTTAATAAAGCAAAGAAAAGCTAACAAATGATGCATAATTTTCATTTAGTTAGTATATGTGTTGGTTGAACAAGGTTTATCAGGGGATGAATAGCTCCAGAACTTAGTGTTGATTCTATGCATTCTTCGCCCAAGGAATGGCTCCACTTAGCCACAATGTTGTTGACAGTTTCCAGATCTTATCCCTCCCTCACGAACCTTGATATTGTGTCTTTGGCCTTCCAGAAAAGAAATAGTTTTTGAAAAATACACTATTCCCAAAACGGAGTCTAATCTGATACTAAGTGTCACTTTTATCAGGCACGATGACGAATGCTGACTGACGAGATACAGGGAAGAGGATAGGGTCACGTGCTTGACCACGCTCAGAAAAGGCTTAAATAATTTAGCCTGGTAAACATCTGAAGGTGTTGATTTACTTATTGCTGGAATTATTAAGTCGGACTTTGTGCCTTTAGGGTCACATCAACGTTCTTGATCAACGATTATTTCGACCAAAGATCTTCCTGTTGTTTACTTTGTAATGCAAACACTGCTGCCCCCCAGTGGCACAGCGGTATGTCTGCGGACTTATAACGCTAGAAAATGGGTTTCGATACCTGTGGTGGGCAGAGCCCAGATAGCCCATTGTGTAGCTTTGTGTTTAACTACAAACAAGCAAATACTGCTAAGTTACAAAGAGCTTGTAATGAAATGTTATTTTTAATCCGAAAACTATTCAAGCTTTTATTACATTAACTTTCAACAAGAAACTCCAGTAATTTCCAACTACATGTTGAAAATGACATTTTTAAGAACACCTTTACGCAAAAAAAAGCTTGGGGTAAAGATAATTTTTATATCCATAAACTGTCACGAACTGTTTTATCTTTCTCATGCATAACTTGTAAAATATTTATATTTCGGTAGGTTACACTGATAGAATTGCATATTTGGCACCACTTACGTTAATTTATCTAACCATTAAATGTTATCCAATTCTTACAGTCCCTCTGGCGACTCAACGGTAAGCCCGAGGGTTATAACATTAAATTCAGGGTATGACCCTCACTACAGATACAGCTCAGACAGCCCACGTTTGTGCGTTTTTTGTTTTTTTAACGTAAAACAAACCTGTATTTTACCTGAACGGTTTTTATAACAAACCAAAACGAATAAACGAACATTATCTATATCTAACTACTTTGTATTAAAACTACATCCAACTCCAATCTTATAAAAAAAATTATACAGATTTACCAACATTATACTTGCTGGATACTTGAAAAGCGGACATAGTTAATTATTCGCTGAATCACCATGTCAAGTTATTGAGCAATGTCTAAAAATCTAGGACTCCGGAACGTTTCAAACTTAGGGGAAAATCTGGGACTCAGAACGTTTAGAGCTTATGGGAAAGTTTATGTTAGGAAGTTCTGAATATCTGTTTGTCATTCTGTCTGTCCATCCGTATATATACATCATTGTAAGTGTTACTAGCACCAAAACCAAATGTGCATACTGTTACTTTAGTCACCTGTCGACTACTGTTATCTCACAACTCACTTCAATTACAGGATATAATACATTTTCCATTCACGTACGGTGATGTATACATTGGTACTATTCATATTGATATTAGAGCTGGTCAGGGTATTACTTCATCCTCATTGGAGTGAAAATGTGTAAATTATATGAGTTCGTTCTAATGCGAATAGAATATATATACATATATATGTGTATATATATGTATATACCTTGTCATATTCTATCTGCGTCGAATGTTTTGTTAAACCTATAACAAAAGACCTAGAATTTATTCCAATGTGTGAACTAAGACATGGAAAATATTTCCATTTCAATTAGGCTTAAAAATTTTCAACTATAAAACTTAAAAAAAAAGGTTTTATCAGACACATATTTGTTACTTTTTTTTTAATTAACACATCTATGTATAAATAAGAGCTTCTATCAATAAATGAAACATTTGTACTATTTCTAGTGTGCTTACCCATTCAAGCTTACACTCTGGAGAACAGACGACATCAAAGTTTTCTTCTGTTGCCTGAAAAAAAAAAGAATCAAATACGTTGCACTTTTGGATATGTTCAAAAAATCTTCATACTATCAGAAAATTTGCATTTCAATTTCTTTTTTCATTTGTGGCAATAAATGACAACACGCAAAGTTTGTATCTGTATCTATATTTTAAGAGGCTGTACGTACTTTTATAGTAAGTATAGCTTCTGTTATGAATTTGTTTTGAAACTAGTAAAAATCTTCTGACAGAAGCATGATTTTATTAAATGATTTAATGAGAATTGAGTATATGAGATTAAATCTTTTTCGGCATTGAACAACCATAACACCATTGTATATGAGGCTGTAGTTTTAAAATTACGACACAAACAGACGATCAACAAACCGTTAAGTTACAATAGCATGTCTAATCGGAAGCTCCGGGAATCATCAGTCAACGAGCAGAGACCATCGCTACTAAGTGAAACGTTTATGCTGAACTAATTTATCATGTCAGTTAAAATTCCTAATTACCAAAGATTCAAGTAGTTGGAGGACTTAAAAATACAAAGGTCATACAAGACATAAGTTTGTTAAACAAAAATGAAATAATAGTATGAACTACAACAAAGCAGAATTATTACATAAGTGACATGCAGTAGGATTGTTTAATGAATTATAACGCAATTTTAAACAAAATCCCTGTATTCCTAAATTAGGAAATGCCACTGTAAACGTATTTTAAAACCCGTTTGCACCTTTTTTTAACGTTGAAATTCAAGACTCGATACCCGCGGGGGTCACATTCCAGATAGTTTATTGTACACTTTATGATACACAAACAATACAACTACAACCTTGCTTTCTTTTAATCCATCAGAGACTAAATAATGACATTCTAATAATAGCAAACTGTTTGAACTTATAAGTGCCTATTCAGAAGAACACCATACTTGTAAATTAAATTCTAAAATGAACGAGACAGGCCGGTCAAATGTTTCACACAAATATCTGCGATAGGCCTCATAACCACATTTGTGACAAAGTTATCTGTATTTTAGGCGGATGAACGTATCAGCGAATGCTTGAAACAATACAACAAAGTACTGAAACAGTCTTGACCTCTTAATTTCAATTTTTTAAATGTACCACAAAACTATACAGGATGTCCGAAAAGTCTGGAACCATACGTGATTTGCAGCTTTTCTTAATTTCACATACGTGACTATTATGGCGATGTCAAAACATGAGAAAGTCAAGTTAATCCTACTGTTAATCCAAACTTGTTTCAAATTACAAGGACGGCATGTGGAACACATTCTGGAAAATTCGTTGAACTGCCTGTGGTTCCAAACTTTTTGGGCACCCTGTATACCACAAGCTTATACTTTTAAATTAATTATACAGTTTTCGAGATACAGTATAAAAACCATTTACAATAAAATGCGAAATTTACAGAAATTACGAATAGATACACTGTGTAAGTTAATCTCAAGAGAATTTATGAAATAATGTAAATCTACGTAGAAAGCAGTCCTCAATGACGTAGTGACAACTTAAGTTCTGTTTATTGCTACTTGTGCGCGTAGACAGGGTAAGTGGTGGGTGCAATCAAACTCTCTAAATTGCAACCATAAAGCACATTTAAAAGATGTAAAAACAGCCTTAGATACCATCAAAATGCACCATTTTCAGTGAAAATTACAAACATTTTCCGAGGGCACATGCGCCCGAACCTCTTCCCCACTCATTTTCTTTTCCTCCAAAAGCAGCATCCCCTTAATGGATTTCTGCCCACGCCCCTGAACAAGATTCATTACCTATATTTATAGACAAAATTAACTGAACTGTGTACCATATCACGTTTTGTTTTTAACAAAAATAAATAAATTCCTAAGTGCTTTACGATAACGCAAGTTGTGTTGTCACTGAATGTGTATAAATCTCAGTTTTTTATATATAATATAGAGCAACATATTACGAAACTGGACTTTTTCTCAACTTTACTAAAAGTTTTTCCAAAAACTGTGAAGTTGCGGACGTTATTCTGTTCGTTCTCTGTTTTAATAATGGAATATATTTGATTCACGTCTCTTATATTACGCCCCCCTCCCCTGGCACAGTCTGCAGACTTACAACGCTGGAAACCGGGTATCGATACCCGTTGTGGGCACAGCACCGATAGCCCATTGTGTAGTTTTGTGCTTAACTTCAAACAAACAAACTCTTATAACACCTGAATAACTGTCCACTTGGGGAATCTTTAAATTATCTGATAGCTTTGAAAAGAAGTTGTTGAGAAATATTTTCTGGTAACTCTGTTACTTACAGGAAAATAAATCATGCCCGATACTTTAGTTGACATATTTCCTAACCCTTTATCACCCGGGGAAAGTCCAATGTTAGGAAAGACGGATCATATGAAAACTGCTGAAAATCGGTTTTCTGACCTTAGGTTCTGCAAACCCATCTGTGTCAGGATGAGCATCTGTTAACCTACAGTGAGAGTTGGGAGCTAATGTATATGTATTATTAGCTGAATATTAACGCTGGCCACGAGTATCTATATAAATATAATAGTACTGTCTGTTGTACGTCCATGTAACTACTTCGCAGGGTGTGGATGGGCCTTCACCAAAATTGGTATGGTGGTTCATTAGGTTCTTGCGGGGGTACATAGAAATTGTACCTGATGATGACAAAACCTTGTCGAAACGTTGTACATTTGCTGTTATGTTAAACTTATATTAACGTTTTTCTTCATTACCCATTCAAGCCGTCTTCATGCATTAACATAAATTTTCAGTTTTGCGTTTTTCGGTTTTTATTGGGCGTTTGCTCGTTTTTTACCACTACTTCGTCCCCTGTTAGTGGATCTTCACCAAATTTAGTTTTAAGGTTTGTTGGGTCCATGGGGAGATACATGCAAACTTGTGGTTTCACATTTTGTGTTTTGCAGTTTTTATGGGCGTTTTTTTAGAATTACATATAAAGGAAACAACTTTTCATATCCTAAGATAACCTTTCATTAATCATGAATTTACATAACTTCCGTCCAGGGGACAAGTACCCCAACTAGTTGATAATATCTTGCGAAATTTTGAGATTTTTTCACAACTGTAACAGGCTGTTTATTTGAACCAAAGCAAGAGCAACCAAAGTCATGAAATCTTGAATATAAACGTAAACTACGGACATTGGACCGCAGGACTTATAGTGAGAACCCCCCCCCAGTGGCTTAGCAATAAGTCAGCGAGCACAGCACAGATAGCTCATTGTGTAGCTTTACGCTTAACTAAAAATCTTTAATGGTACATGTTGGCACGAACTGACCAAGTTTCAGAAATCGGCTTTTTCTTCATAAAAGTTAACCTTAGAAATCACATACCACTTTCTAAGTTTTCAGAACACGAGTAATTTAAAATTTTGATTGGGCAGTCACCACAAAGTAGGCCTGTAATGAAATGTCTTCACAAATTAAGCAACACAAATGGCCTGAGATACAGATCAAAGCATTTATAAACACACGTGTTCCTGGAAGCTTCAGACGACAACAGATAAGGGAAGCATGGACACAGTTCTTATCATGGACACAGGTAGTTTCAACGTGTACTGCTTAATTGTTTGTTGTTGTTGTTAAGTTTGTAATTTAATTCGAGTAAATTCTTATTTCGTCCAAATTATTTACAGCAAATTTAAATTAATTCAATCTTTAACTTAAACAAAAGTACGTTCATATCCGGCATGGCAATCTGAAGGTCGCGGGTTCGAATCACCGTCACACCAAACATGCTCGACCTTTCAGCCGTGGGGGCGTTATAATGTGACGGTCAATTCCACTATTCGTTGGTAAAAGAGTAGCCCAAGAGTTGGCGGTGGGTGGTGATGATTAGCTGCCTTCTCTCTCTACTCTTACACTGCTAAATTAGGGACGGCTAGCGCAGATAGCCCTCGTGTAGCTTTGCGCGAAATTCAAAAAACAAACAAACAAACGTTCATATCAAACCTCATTTACAATAAGAAACTATGGGCTTGCTTCCTTGTGTAGCGCAGGAATGCATCCACTGGCTTTATGACATCACATCCGAATTAATACCATGAGCTGAATTATTAGTTGGTAAACTATTCTTTCACTGAAATACTTAAACACTGTTACTTCAAGTGAAACTGATGTTACAACTGCACAAAAATAGGTACTTTTTAAAGTTACTCTTAATGTACAAATTGTGTTTCTTTTAGAGCAAAACCACATTGGGCTATCTACTGTGTCCACCGCGGGGGAATCAAACCCCGAATTCTAGCGTTGTAAGCCCATAAAATTAAAGCTGTACCACCAGGGGATTAATATACAAAGACTGGGCAATAAAAGATAATAAATAAATATCACTGAAATTTAAATGGCAATTGTAGTGCCAAGTTTTAAATTACAGCATTGAGTACATGATAATAAGTTGTTTTTGTTTGTTTGTTTTTCAACACAGCATTGAGCAGTTATTTTGCACTTGGCTCTAGCTTTTCATTCTTCAATGAGAAAAAGAATATAAAAAAAGTTGTTTGTTTTTTTACGAAAATATAGTATACGGAAGTATCAAGTAATTTTTCATTTTAGATTTGAGAGTGTCCAACTAAATCTGGGGAAAACATCATTAATAACAAAAGCACCCAATTGCTTCTGGCGAAAATATTGCTATTAACGAGATTACTCAACTGATTATGGTGAAAACATTATTAATAGCCAGAGTACGCAACTGATTCTAGCGAAAACATCATTAATAATGAGGATACCCAAAAGATTCTAGCGAAAATATTATTAAAAGCCAGGGTACCCAACTGATTCTGGATAGAATATTATTAATAGCCAGGATACCCAAATGATTCTGTCGAAAATATTGTTAATAGCGATAGTACCCAACATATTCTATTCATTATAAGTTTCAGTTTCCTTGGTGTGCTGATTTTTTACATCAAGTACTTCTCGTCATTATCGATAACTATTAAGACAAAATCTGTGTTAATTTGCACCCTAACTCCTCCGAACCTATGGGG